ATCGTTAATTTTTTATATTAAACCACAAAAAACAAAAAAACCTCAACGACAACAAAATCAAACGAAAAAAAAATAACAACAACCAAAAAAACAAACAAACCTATAGGTTGGTTGCATAGAATCAGTTTTCACGCTGCGAGAAAAAAACTATTGTTTTTAGTCAAAATTAGAGGGTCACTTTCAGACCTTTTTAAGAGTACTAATAAGCTAATAACGTAAATCATAAACTACATGTTTGTCTGCTTCTCAGTCACTACAACAGATGGAAAAAAATTGTGATTTAAAAATAGTTTTACTGAGCGAAAACGCAAAAAAGCAGATTTACTTTAAAATTTTAATGACTTACACTGCAGAGAAATCAAAGTGTTTCGGGGACAAATGTTTACCTGCACAACAGCAGCCGAATATTTTAATATATCTGTGTTTCTTTTTATTTGGTCGTGGATGCTGTTTAAGCTCTAACCGACCGGAAAATTATCTCTGTTGGCTGAAAATCATTTTCCGACTCAGAACTGATCTGAGTCACCGCAATCAATTATTTGTTTATATCAACTTAAAAAATATATAGCAGAACTGGAAAACCCTCTGTTGCGCTAAATTATATAATTTTCGCAGTGTGGTAAACAATTGTTTTTGACAATATTAGCGGAGCGAAATTGGAGGGCCGAAATTAGCTTCAGGACCCTATAAGAGTAATCAGCTAATAACTTACATGGTAAAACTTCATATCTACAACTCTGTCACTAACTGGCGTGTTTAGACATAAAAGTCTTCTTTAAAAAGTAGATTAAAAGATTTAAAGACAAGAAAAGAAAAATGGATCAAAAGAGATCTTAAAATTTTAATGACATGAAGTGAAAACAGTCGAAAGTGTTACTAAAGAAGAAACGTTAACCTGCATAGTAAAGTAGAAATGAATATTTTAGGGAACCCGCGTTCCGCTTCTTTGTCTTTCGGGTGATGTAAACTCTAAGTGACCAGAATCGGGGGTAGCGGCGCGGAATCATTTGAATCTTGATATTCATGATTCCTGTCGTTTTTACCTCAATGATTCATGATTCCTACGAGACTTTTCTTCCAGATTCATGACTTACGAAGACTTTTGATGATATATTCATTAAATGAATTTCTCAGAGGTCACTTTGTCTCGTTTTGCATAGTTTTTTTGGAGTGTTCAAGCTTCTATTTTCATCCAGAATTATATAGATTTCTCGACCACTGTTTCTCTGTATCATCATCATTCATTTTGTTACTGAACATTAAGCACCAGTGTCACTGGAGAAACAAGCGGACTATCAGCCCCGAATGCACGAAAAACCGGGGGCATGCTCCCCCGGAAAAACAAAAATTGTAATTCCCTGGATCGAGCGCAATTAATTCATACGTCTATTTTGTTGGGTTTTTCTCAGAGACTCGTTATTCATGATTCCCCAGCCGAAGTACAAAGATTCATGATTCTCCAGTTTTAAAAACAAAGATTCATGATTCCTACAAGTTATTTAACTATGATTCACGATTCATGATTCCGCTTCCACCCCCGAACAATAATTATTTTTGTATTATCCCACCCAGGTAAAAAAGTCCTACAAGCACTGGGCTCCAGTTTAGACTAACAACACAGCTGGAAGTGTTTATATGAAGTACTAGTTAGTATCTGAAGAATGAATGTGCAGCGGAGGAAAGTTGGGTTGACTTCTCTTTTTGTCTTGTTAGGCCATGATCGGGATTAATTCGAACAACCCTAAACCTCAGGTTAGTTTTGCTGAACTTCAAATTAAACGTATTTAGTCTATAGGTATAGCTTCTTTGATAAAAAACACATGTATGATGTCAATACCTCACAACAACAACACAGCTCTAGTAAGCTTACAGTCTGTAAGCTCTAAATATTCATCGCTTCTCTTAAGTCTCTTTATTCTACATTTGGGTGGATGATGCATGAAAATAACTTTTCATGGAACTGAGAAGTATAATTGAAAACAATCCTAAAGGTACATGTAGATGGCGGTGTAAGTCTGTTTTGAAATGCCGTTCCTTCCATATTCCATATGATTATTTTGATAGCCTGATCTGAACATAAATAATTATTTGGCCCGGGCACCTCAGACGATCGAGATGATCCAGAAACCTATTATTTGAATGAAAACAAGGCTTATAAAGAACCAAACACTGATACATGCAGATCGCTGGTCGTGGGAGTGAAGACCAAGTCTTGTGTAGAAACTTATTCACTTCATTCACATCAAATTTAAGTAACAATGTTTTAGTTAGCATGGCGCATTGCTGGCGTAATTTAACTTTGGTTAGTAATGTCTGGGAAGCAGCACCAAGATCCTTGTTCTGTGCCCAGAACAGACTTAACGTATTACAGGAGGTGCGTTTTGAATATATTTCCTTTCAGGCCAATTATCGTGCATACTCAAATCCTGGTACACAAGTAGGGCCCAGTACAACTATTTTGGCGCTGTTTCACAGACGGACTTAACTGGAGCTTAGTTCCATGGGTGGCACAGACTATGTCTTAGCATGAACATTACAGTATTCATGTTTTACTTATGATAGGATTACATGCAAACAGTAAATATGTGACAAGTTTTACTTTTTTCCCAGGAAGTGATCAATACTGCTTGTCAAAGATTTCTTAAAAGAAAGCGACCAAGCAGTGGAAAATGGTATGAAAGTCCATAATAATGTGTATGTTACAGGTGAAATTTTATGTCATGTAAACTTTTTTAACCTAGTTGGATTCTCAATTTCTTTTGTCTCCTTGGGCTAGGAGATAGAGAAAACTGAGAATCATCCTAGATAAAATTGAAATTAACCTGAAATACAATTGGACCTGCCAATAATATTAAATTATATTTTTTTAAGCTGAAAATTGTATCATTATCCATACCTGGATGAGATGCTAGTCCAAGGCCTAGCATTTGCATCTGCATCCTTTTGTAGGTACCAAATACTTTAATGTTTTGATGTTCTATACTGTTACTAAGCAATTGTTTATTGTGGCTCACTACAGATCCTTGAGAGGAGAGCCGGTTTGTGTCCCAATCTTTTGATAGTTTTCAGAATCCCACAACTGGGCTTCAATCAGCACTGGGCTTGTTTATAAAATGTTTACATCTTGTCGTGGTTGAAGTCATGCAAGATTATTTTGCAAAACCAGAAAACAATTATGCATCCCTAGAGTTTTTAAGTTGAACCCGTTTTCACTGGTGTGGGTCACTGTTAAAAAAAATATCTTTAATTATCTTTAAAAATTTATCTTTATTGTTTACAGTATAAAAGAGACTTACTGTTGTTTGTCATATATTCAAGACTGAAAAAATCATGACTGCAAACTAAATAGTAAAAATATGTGTCATCCTTGTGTTTTTACTCTGACTAATATTATTTTCCAGGCAATCTTTGGAAGAGCGACTTCTAGATTGTTACATTGAATCATATGAGGGTGCTCCCAAAGATAAGGTTTGTTTCTTTGTTGTTGTTGCTAATTATTAATATTATCCTTATTAAGCCAATGACACACAGTTCAATGCCATTCAACTGACAACATCTTCTTCAGGCTCAAGAAACCTTGAGTGCATGACTTTGTTGTTCAATAAGTTGCAACATGTGAAATGGCCTATTTCTGAATTCAGTGTGGCATGAAGTTTTCAATATTTGTTATTCAACGTTTGTTGAACAAGGGCTGTGGGGCTTGAATTATCTGGGTAACCATTAGTGGTGGGTCACATCTTCCTGTCTTGAAATAAACCTTTGCTTGGACACAACCCATTTTTGCCTGATGGTCACTAAAACAGCAGCAGGATTAGTTTTTGAAAAAAAATGATCCTTATTATGATGATGTTATGTCCATTTGTCTAATAAAAAGGACCGTAGAGTAGGGAATTGTCTCTACTCTAAGTGTTCGTGCTGTAATTATAGAGAGTTTCTGCTTAAAACTTCAATTTCTTGGTGTCAACTCATGATTATGTAACTCTGATCTCTTTCTGTTCACAGCGTTTCTGTCATGGTGTAAGGTTGCTAGAGAAAGTTGTTCTTCAAGACAATCTCTCAACACTTGTTGTAAACTTATACCCAAGAAATGAAGGCTACTCCCTGATGCTTAAAGGCAAGATTAGTATTCCCACTGCCTTATCTGTCAAGGGCCAAAGATTCATAGTCTTTAGTAGCTGGCAAATTTTTTCCATAGAAGTACCAACATAAGATTCCCATAGGCTTTCTAGTCATGAAGAAAAAGCTTATGGATAAATTCCCTTTGATTTCTAAAATGTGAGATTTCAAGAAAAGCACCAGATGAGTATGATCACCCACATTAACTGTTTCATTTTTTCATCTTTTGGCTTGAGTCTTACTATTTACTTTACAAATTTTTTGAACCAGTCACATATAGATCTAAAGAAATCTTCCACGATATTTAGAAGAGGAAGTCCTCTACAACATATCTTGCTTGTATTCTGAGGAGAAAAATAACAGCTTTTGTCTCAAAAAATTTGTGTCCATTTCAGATCTGTAGTAGAACTAAATTCTTCCATCAGTTCCTGTGAAATTTTTTTTCTCATCTATTTTTTTTCTCACAATAATCTCTCACTGATTTTCAATAATTATTATTTCAACAGATTCTGAAACTGTGCGACTTCCTTATGAGGTAAATGAGTTTTACAGTTTTTGCTGGTTTTGCAAGATTGGTTGAGATGACTGCAGCTACTGTCAGTGTAACTTACATTGGTCGCACTGCATGTTCATTCTTCACTAACTGTGTGTCTACATGTACCATCGAATGTACGCTGTGGAATAAGTGGAATAAAAAAGGCCTACATTTTATCTTTTCTAAAGAAGGAGATGAATGTAGTTCTAAGTCAAAAAACACATTAACTCTACAAATGTAGGTCACAAAGTTCCCTGGAACCCCATCATTAGTGGTCTCCTGAGTTATACAGTCACCTTGTTCCATATTACAGCTACTGTGATTCGTCCTGACAAATTTTCTGAAAAAAAAAATCCTCTGAATGCAGCCACCCAGCTATAATGTTAACCCATTCACCTTAGGAGATGTGCCTGAATTAAAGAGTAACATTTACTGTTTACTGTTGTCCCTTTCTGGCCAGAAAGAAAGTCAAGAATCAATGTTCTCTTAACTTTCCTGTAAACTTCTTTTGCTTTTCTTTGTCACCTTTTTTTCTTTTAAATATTAACATCTCCTAAAGGAGTCTGCAGTGCTAGTAATTTTATTTGTATGGGTCAAAGTTTTTATAAGCTGGTGATCAGCCATAGCAGATAATATTATTGATACAAGAATATTGTCTCGCTTGCTTGAGATGTAAATTCATTACAAGATCGACAATGTTGTTTTGATTGATTCCATTCTAAACAGGAGACTGAATTTCTGGATTATCTTGATGCACAGGAGGTAATCACACTAAATGATGGTGTATTATGTATATCATCACTTAATTTTTATGATGCAATTCTCCAATGTACTTTTTTGAAGGATAAGCAATCTTTCTTTTGCAAATAAGGGTTCACAGCTGAAGGTCCAGCTTAATAATGAATACGAGTGTGTTTTACAAAATAAACTGTCTTTCACAAGAGGCACACTTCTCGCACCTGACAGTTGAATTTTTCTACTTAGCTGTCAGGCCTACGAAATGTGCTAAATCAACTCATTTTTGACTATTTGATCTTCTTAACAACCATTTTAAGAAGTATTTGATGTCTCTTTGGAACAGTGTTTCTACTTGAAGATTATGATATATATATATAGCAAAAGTTTTGTATAAAAAAACTAAAATAATATTGATGTCCCTTTAATAATATTTCCTTTTCTTAGCTCCCTCCAGTCCTGGTTGATCTTTTAGAAAAATCCCAGGTGAGTTACAGTTCTTATTTTACTCTGACTTGACTTAAATGTTTCTCTATCAGTATTACATGTAGAAGTAAGCTGCAAACAACTGTAAATTATATTCAGATTTTTATCTGGATAATATGACAGATGGAATTATTTTGCTGTTCTTACGTACAACGTACAATGTTCTGGAGAACCCTAAAACGTTTTTATTATTGTTTTTTTTGCTATAAGTGACATTTCCATTGCAAGATTTTGTGTTTTCACCTTTAATATTTTATTAATTTTCTTTTAATGCTCTTCAAGGCCAACATATTTTACAGTGGCTGTGTTATTGTTGAAGTGAGAGACTACCGTCACAGCCCTGCAGGACATTCTTATGAAAGCAGTTATGTGTTACTTCGGCCTACATATCAGGTATTAAAATAATCCTGTGGTATTTTGCCGCCCACCCAAGAAAGGCGTGTAATTACATTCATATTATTATTGCTTGTCCTCTCCATGGTAATCTACTGTAATGTAATAAATGCCAATTCTGTGGCTCAATATCAGTGAATTAAATTTTGTATTTTTGTAAAACCAAGAACTGTTAATGAAAATTTTCCAACTCAAACAGTTCATTGGGAAATTTTGTTTAAATTCACAATATTTTATTTTATTTGCAAGACCATTGTTATTTCTAATACATGTACTAGTTTTTTAATATTAACTTGCTCAAACATTGTGTAAGGCTGTGTTTTCAGTGTTAAGTACCACCATTATGCATTGACTTTAAGTTGTCATTAGTTTTTAGACTAGTAAGGACTGAACTTGAAAATGATCAAATACAGGTGTCTTAAGTAGCATCTTTCAATTTTACATCAAGAAACTCAAGTTTCACCAGCACCATTTTGTTTATTCCCAGACACTTTTATGTGACATCAATGCAATGACAAGAGAATCACCTCACTGGACACAGGAGACTAAATTGCATCTGGAATCACAACTGCTGTTGGCAACAGAAGGACCATTGTGTCTTGATCCCTCAATAGAAGTCGCACAAGTGGCTAACCAGCTTCAGTTTAATAAAAACAAGTTTAATACCCGTGGTATAAGAAGGTATATTATCATTTAACTTCCTACCTCCATCATATGCTATGGTTGTAAAAGCTACAATCCTGGACAAAACTACTTGAGAAAATGTTTTCATTAATGCGCACTACCTAACGCAACAAAACTATTTCCAAATCAACTGCTTTGTGTAAAGAAAACCCCCTCCTCCAGTTCAAAGTTGCTTCCTACAAACGCTTAGGGATCCGGCTTTCTTTCGAAGACCCAACATCACTGCTTCCAAGGGGAGGGGGGGAGGGAAGAATCGGTCGGCTACGAAGTTTAGAAAAAATGCCCCCCAAGAATGCAATTTTCTCAACAGTTTTGTCCAAGATTGTCGCAAAGATTAGGTCGTAAACAACGGTGCTTCTGCTTATGTTAGGAGCTCTCTGACCACGGACTTTTTTTTGTCTTTAGTTCACACATTGTGACTAAATACATAAATGGGACATATCTATGGGTCAGTTTCTCTGTTGGAATGCTTTTCAGTCTTGTGCAGGGTCAATCCTAAAAAGCTAAAAAATAACAAGGAAGCTTGTCAGTCTACAGCAGGTAATAGTGCTACATTGATACAACGAGGGATGAGTGTTTTGAAGCCCTGCTAGCTCTACCCCTGGTTTAACTTTTTAAGCCCCAATATCCAAATACAAATTCTCCAAACTAACCTCCATACATTTCTTTAAAGAATGTGTTGAGAGAATTTTATAAAAGATCAATGCAATTCCACTTTGGTGACCATTTTATCAATTCTCATAACCATATCTCTTGAAAGTGTATGAATATCGTTAGGAGAAAATTGATGTTGGTCACCATTGGGACTTAAAGGGTTAACTGCCGCCTGGTTAGCTCAGTTGGGAGAGCGCCGGTCTACTGAGCGGGAGGTCGCGGGTTCAAACCCCGGCCGGACCAACACTCAGGGTCTTTAAATAACTGAGGAGAAAGTGCTGCCTTTGTAATAATATCTGCAAACGGCTAGACTTTCTAGTCTTCTCGGATAAGGACGATAAACCGTAGGCCCCGTCTCACAAGCCCTTACACATGTATTAAATCTGTGGGACGTTAAAAACCCGGGACGTTAAAAACCCGGCCGGACCAACACTCAGGGTCTTTAAATAACTGAGGAGAAAGTGCTGCCTTTGTAATAATATCTGCAAACGGCTAGACTTTCTAGTCTTCTCGGATAAGGACGATAAACCGTAGGCCCCGTCTCACAAGCCCTTACACATGTATTAAATCTGTGGGACGTTAAAGAACCCACACACTCTTCGTTAAGAGTAGGGCACGTAGTGCCCGGTGTAGTGGCCTATCTCACTTTCACACTCATGTATGGGGGCATCATTACTCATTCCTTCACTAATTGTAAACTGCACCTTAAGCAGTCTGGCAAAGTCCCCCAACCAGTGTTGTAAATTATCCCTGAAAAGCCCTGAGGGGAGTGGATAATAAGATATTTACAATTTACAACTGCAAACACAGGGTATAACTTGGTCTAGGAAACTAAAAGTTTTGTTCGATTTTTGTTTGCTTAACTTCTTCTGAATCAGTCACATGATCAGTGGAAAACAGCAAACTTTTTCCGGCAACGAAATTTGGAAAAGATAGGGAAGTTTGCCACTAAACTCGTAAATGAGACCAATCTGTTTTTTTAGTTTAGACTTTATTTGACTCCTACTGAAGACTTAATTACCTTATTATATAAATTACGAATGATATTGGAAGAATTTCATTCTTGATCTGTTTTGGTTATCACGTTTTTCTTGCGCAGGAGTATAAGACGACATTCTCAAGCATTCTACAACAGAACCGGGCTGTTTTCAATGAACAACGCACCATCTCACCTTAAAGTTCTTGATTTTCTATCAAATTACAAAAAGCCACAGCCACCGGTCAATCTTCGGCTTGCCAAGACACCTCAGACCACTGATACATGGAGACAGAAGCCAATACATCTGTCGCCTCCCTCCAGGGTTGATGTAAGTTTTATTGATAATGTGTAAGTGAAAACCAACCCGAGCCATTCTCCCCCAATTACGCCGCACTGTTTAACTAGCTTACGAAATTCTCGTTACTTTCAAACAATGTATTTTTCTTAAGGTTTTTTGCATGCAAAGTAAGCAAAACTTTAGTGGTTTTAACTGAACTAAAGAAAAGTTAAAGCAAGCATGAAGTTTCTTGAGTAATTTGTTGGCTAATCTTCAGTTTCATAGTGATTGCTAGTCGGCAGTTTGAATAATACCAATCAGTTACAGCTGCATTTGAATTTGTTTGTCGTTTCAGGTTGACTTGTATTCCAAAATGATCGAACGTCCAAAAATGACTGCAGATAATACACCCGAGAGAGTACAAGAGGTTACATTAGAAGGAGAAAAGACAAACAACAGAAATTACTTCTGTCGTGTAACAATCCGTCGCCGACCAACAGATCTTCAGTATTTGGGTGAACTGTACCTTGAAGAAGACACCAGTAATTCACAGGGAAACACTACTTCAACTGCTGATACACAAGACTCCACAAGCCGAGCAGGAAAGGCTTGCCAGTTTTTTCTTGGAAGTAAACTTGCAGCGCAGAAGTAAGCCAGCGTTATTTGTCATTTGTTTAACTTTTAGTTGCTTTTCAAGAAACTTTGATCCATGTCGTCTTATTCCTCTGGGTGCACAGTACCCTCAAAGTAGAATTCTGAGGGTTCCCCATGACATTTCAGGGAATGAATGGAAGTACGCATTGCATTGGTAAATCTGAGCTAAGAAGCACAACATGGGACCCTTCAATCACTGCCTTGGTTGAAATTAGTCAACCATATTTTCTCGGAATACATCTCTCCTTGTAATACAATAGGAATTGTCTCGCGATTAACACCTTTACTAGAAGGTTGTTTGTCATGGCAGTCTTTCAAATGGGAAACCAGTCATAGCCATCAGTCATGTGCGACTTGTGTCATTTCGAACTTACAAGCTCGTATTTAAATGATACTAACTTACTATTGCGTTTAACACACAGATATCTGCAGCAGTTTCAGGACTTGTATACTGAAGAAGGGCGCAAATCTGTTAAGATATGTACCT